GTCGTTGAGGGGCGGAGGGGGCGGGTCCGAGGTGGTGACAGGATCCTCGCCAGTGGTCGAGATGTTGGAGTCATGGATACTCATAGCGACCCACAGACACAGAGCTTTTCGTAAAACAATATATTTATAACAAAGAAAACAAACAAATATACAACTTTTAATAATCTACTTACACCCTAGCTCTGATAGACCCCTTGTGTCTCCCGTCTCCGCGTTCTTCCCTTTACGGAAAAACCCTCCTTCCTGTGGCGAGACTAATCCTCTACCAAGCGTCCCCAAATAGATGCCATGAGGCACGCTGTCTAATACGTTACAATGTGATGCGCGGAGGCGGAAATCAGAAACGATGCTTCTGCGGAGACGCAGAGACGAAGTAGTTCCAAGTCCTCGCAATTTGACACGTCAGCCAAACGGACAACTATCGTATTAGTTACAATGGTGGTTGACTAACTGCACCTTTTCATTGGTACCTGTTTAAGACACGAATTTTGGTGACAATAAAACGTATCTTTCTTCTGGAGAAATGATGATACAGCTGATCACGTACAGAACGAAGCTTACTACAAGAATGAGAGAGTTCTGCTTCAGAACCAGGGGGTGAGCACATACTCGTAGTCTGTGAATTGTTCGCGTACTTTTTTATTGACTTCTACTTTTGTAGGACAATTTAATTTGAACGTATCAATCTCGTATCTCTACGTACACACACTTTTATTACCGGAGCACCATTCGAATGTATGACCTGAAATAATATGTGAAAGAATTAATTGAATCACTCATAATGCGGTTATAATTTCAATATAACAATGTAGTCTTTTCATATTCTAAACGCGTTTTTTTTTTTAGAAACTTTGTGCTAAAATTGGCGCTGACCCTGCGAAATGTCAGTGATTGACGCAACAAAATCATTGGGAACAGAAATAGTGCAGAAATGAAAAGGAAATTTCAAAAGATTTGGAAAACGTGGGGAAATGAAAGAAACTCCCTCTGGTAAAATACCGCTTTTAAATAATGATGTAATGAATGTCAGTGATTAAAATACTATTTTTATAATATTAAACTTTGAAAAATATCAGTTTCATCTTTGCCATTTATATTTGGGGCCAGAAAAAGTTTTGTCTGTCATTCCACATTCCAACGGTTTCGGTTAACTGGAATACAGGACTTCTCCTTGAATTGCTCATTGTCACCCTTGAATGATTTTCAACTCTTAATTCGTTGACTGCTAGTGCAACAGTGCTTTTCGCGAAGAACGAATAAGTGTATTCATTTGTCGGCGTAGACCACCAGAAAGAGAGAAACAGTTCGAATACGGCGACCCCCCGGATTAAATTTCTGTTGAGCAAACCGTTTAGGTTTTCATTCATTTTATTCCCGTTCCACCCTGAATGCACCACGGAACACAAATATGATATTGCCGAATCGGCGCATTCTGATGACACACGCGGCCAAAGTCACTCCGGAGGCCGAGCGCCCACTTGTGGCGCCGAGCAAATCGCGGCGGAGGGCAGCGGCGATGAAGCGCCTGGACCACGGGGGCGACGTCCACCACAAAACATGGATATTCGAAATGGAAAACGTCGATGCTAGTAATGCATTGTTCAAAAACCATCGGTACATTGATGTTTTTTTAGTTCAATATTTCACTGTTGCTTACGCAGTAGAGAGGAAATTATGTAATACTGCGCGAGTTTTCGCCAGAAAAACTCGTTATTACAACGTCCTGAAAAGAGAACGTGGAGAAATTCAGTTGCTAAATTTAGAAGAAAAAAAACAACTAACTCTTGGTGTTGTCAGAATCCATGTTTTATGGGTTCTTGATACCGAAATATCCAATGACGGTAAAACGCTTGTGTCTGTCCAGTGTTAGAGGCTGAACCGTTGAGCCGATTTTCTTTAAAATTGATGTTCCCCAATCAATCTGACTGATATCCCTTGAATTTGAAAATGATATTTTTAATTTTGGAGGTACTTTACATAAAGCCCCCGGGGCATTTTCATAATTAAAAAAATGGCTTCATCGTTTTTGATTAAATTTTGTTGTTGGATAGTATAAAGGACGTTTAAGAAAATGGCTCAGATCTCATTTTCGTTAAAAACTCATATTTCTAAAATTGCAAAAATTCAAATTTTCTTCGGCCTCTTCCTACAACTACATTTAAGACTACAATTAAACAGAACAAATTACAATTAAGAAGACAATTTACAATTAAGAAGAATTTCTTCCCTTAAGATAGGTTTTGAAACAAGGTCATGTACAATTTTTTGAAAATTCGAGTACATTTCGCGTAATTTTGCATTAAAGTAAGGATGAAAACGTACGTGCGTTTTAGCGCCACTAGTTAAGTGGTAAATAACCTCTGAAATTACGTTCGCGCAAAAAATAATTTATTTTTGATTAGCTATGGTATTGATATGATATAATATGATAAAATATAATGATACATCATTAATATTTAACTGGCAAAACAACTAAGAAGTAAAAATGAACAAATAAAACTACTAACGCTGAAAGCCTGAGGGATCAGGGTCATCTCAAGGTGCCATAGCTTCATGTAGAAAAAAGAAGGCGTAGGAAACACGGTAGGGCGGCGGGGTCATCTCTCGGGAGAGGGGTAGCTTGCTCGAAGGTATATAAAGACCGTTAGCTTCGTTCGATCACGTGATCAGTTGATACACAAAATTTTAACTTTCACAAAACTGTGATTATGGAACTTTTTTCGTTGACAACCAAAACATTGAAAACAAAAAAGATGGTTTCCATCCTTTGTTAATTGCATTATTTAAATTTGTGCAATCACATAACATAGTTTGCGCTGCTTTTCTTTTCGTTGTAACACTCGTGTTGAATAATTTTCTCTATAAAACACATACCATTTTGTAATACTTGTTTATAAAGAGTGTTGTCTGTACCATATCTCAGTTCTTGTTTTCGTTATAATCTTAAAGTGCATCCGAGCACAAGTATTATCATGTATAAGGAATAAATTTTACTTGAAATTTTGTCTTGCGTAAATTATACTCGGGTCATAATACGAAAATGTCATTATACACGAGTCGTAATACGAAAACCAGTGATTCATGAATGAAAAGGCAATCCAATGGTACTATTTCAAACTACCCACATTCCACTTTGGCTGACCTTTTTTAGTAAGTCAGTTTAGACGAATTCGTAAATGAAAAGGCGAGACTACATGCGTATTTCTTCAATAGGAGTAGATTTTGAAAGTAAGTTTGGATAAAAATTACGGTTTCATAAATGAATAGGTGCCGCACTCTGTGTTCCAAATTTCCCCCTTCCCACCGAGGCAGGTTCATGTCAGCGAGTCGAAAATCACAGATTGGAGCCGGCAGAGGAGCGGGACAAAGGCGGTCCTAGGTATTCAGGCGGCCATGGCAAGCACAGAATTTGCGCCCCCCTGTCAGGATTCTTCAAATTAGCGTGCACACTCTAAGCCCCTTCGTGCGTGGCGGCCGTGGCACGTGCCGTGCCTGCCATACCGTGGATGCGCCTGTGGCGGCACGACTTCGGGAGGGGGGGGAAGAGGGGCCCCTCTGAGCTGGAGGGGTTGCGTCCGCGCACTGCTGAGCGCTGGCCTTGCGCGGCTGGGAATAGCTTTGGCACGGCGGAGACTGGAACGCGATCCGGCCGCCACCGAGAAGCCGAAGAGGCCTGCCGAGCTCCTGCCCTAGCCTCGGAACGCAAGAAAATTGGGTCTCGGTTGCGGGGAACCTCTCAGTTCGTGTTGTCTCCGGAGGGGAAGAGGCTGAGAACCGGCCCCTTAGAGTGTTGATGGAGTAGTAGTAGTAGTATGTCCCTGACAGGGGACTTAATTTGTCTAGGCGCTTAATTTGCGATTGATTTCCAAATTGAAATCGAGGAAACTAATTCAGGAAAATTGGGAAAGAAAACTTTCTCTGGAACATTCTTAGGATTTATTCATCTGTTTCTGTAAACACAAAGATGGTCTTTGTTTCACTCTTCATTTCATACCTCCTCGAATTCTGAATGTTCCTCTGGAGAAAAATGTAATTGTTAATGCCATCAGCTAGTACCAGTAAGTCACAAAGTCTAACATTAAAGTTTGGGAAAGAGTTGTCAATGCCATGAGCAAGAGGTTATTTGTCTCTGTCGACATTTTAATCGTTTATTTCACAGTCTTAAGTAATATATCTATGAGATATTACACATCCCTCTTAACCATCGGAAGGCACCGATCTACATTTAACAACTTTCGGGTTTGAGCCAAAGAGGACTGTTACGTAAGCAGTGTAATAGATTTATGTGAATTTTAGGGAAATACATTCATTCTATCAAAATGATTTTTTTCTTAAATACATTATGAGTGCTTATTTATTCTCGTACTTTTAAAAAATTTGAAAGTTTCCAAAAACATGAATTTCTGTCCTTCAAATTAGATATGACAAAAATGATTTCAATGTATTTCAACAGAAACCTCTTAATCAAACCTCTGTTAGCAGTGTTGTTGAATTCACTTCTTCCAAGGAATGTACAAACAATTAAGATAATGATTGTTATTGTAGTTTTCCTTGTGATTATTATTTTAATATTTTTAATCTTACATCCTACCCTTAAAACCATTAATAATACCATTGGTATATTTATATTATATATATATATATATATATATATATATATATATATATATATATATAAAACACATAGTGATAATACTGATATTAATATGCTGAATAGAATAGACTATTCGTAATCATTCTGCAGAATTTCTCTTACATTTCAGCACTTTCTTGCCAACAGATTGTGACATAGCTCCAGGCAAAAAGGGTTTAAAATATGCATCAATATACATATTTTCTGTAGACCTGATTTTTCATGGTTTTTATACATTTAAGGTTATCTCCCAAATCTAAAACAATCTAATAGATCATCTTAAAATTAATGGGTGTACAATTTTACAATAAAATATAATTATGTTATCAAATTTATTTCCTCTAATACAGTTGGTTTTCTCTTGCAGTCCTTCCAAGGAAGCCAAGGAAGAGCATACCTTTTCAATTCAGTGTAAGTATTAGAAAAGGATGGTCAAATATGACTTTTATGGGTTAGATTTTAAATTTCTGTGTGCATCACATTCCAATCTTAATCTGTGGATTATGGAAATGTAATATTATTTGGAAAAGTTATTTATAAATTTTGAAAAATTTTCTTAGTATTTTAAGTTAAATTTCTTTCTTTGACATGATTAAATTTGTTTCATTTATTTTAGGATTGCATAATGGGTGTGAATTTACTTGTATACATGTATTATATTAAGTATAGCTTATATCTTAAATTAAAGCATAATAAACAATTTAGTATTTATGTTCATTTGGTAGAAAATTGAGGCTTGTATTTGTTTTGATTGAAAATACTTATTTTAAAAGAAATATAGTAATAATTGTATTTACATTTAGATTCATAGCTGGCAAAGGAAGTAACAAAAAATGTTCTTCAAGTATTTTCATCATATTTTATTGCACTTCATCATATTTTGCTTAGCATTCACACTTTTGTGTTAATTTGAGCTCTGAAACTACTTATAAATTTGTTTCAGGGTAAATGTTGGGTGTGGACCAGCTGAGGAAAGGGTGCTTCTTACAGGCCTTCATGCAGTCGCAGATATCTATTGCGAATGTTGCAAAACAACTCTTGGATGGAAATATGTAAGTTTGTAATATAATGCCAGCATGTTTGGGTATATGATCTTTCCTAAAATTTATTCATTTTTTTCAAATATTTGTGAAATGTGAGAAAAAATAACAACAACAAAATGTTAATAATTTATTAATAAAGAATTAAAATTATATTTACATTATGTCCATTGCAATCACGTTCTTATGATTTTGCAATTGCCGTAGTTTCTTCTTGTGTTTTATTTATTTTTTAAAATTCTGATGTTGTTCTCATTTTCAAAGGAGCAATTAATTAATTTCTGTAAATTCTTACATAGTATCAACTACTGTATAAATCACTTTATATTTTCAATCAAACTTTAAAATTGTCAGAGCTGATATAGCATAAATTTAACTGTTTCCTTCATTGTCATGAACTCAAAATTAAGATATGTGAACATTGCTACTAACATTGTGTTTGGGCTTGTTCAAGAAATGAGTATAAGCTATACACAACAAGAGAACACACATGAGGGGAGTGATTGTCTCAAAAGCTTGTCTCAAGAAACGTTTTACAAAGAAAAAACACCAAACACTAGAAATAATTAAGCTTGGGAATACCTACAATTCAAAATGTCGTGCAAATGAATGCATTGATTTGTAAGATATCCCAAAAGCTTTTGGATTTCGTCAATATTTCTTGCATGTCTTTTTGCAAAATCACTTTGCACATACTATTCATATATTTAATTTTATTGAATTAATGAATTACTGAAACATGTATTGGTCAACAGTGTTGATATAATAATACACATTTACTCTGAAATGAACACTGGGTGTTTATGTACAATCTCAAGAGATACATATATTTATAATGTGTTATATGAGAGATGAATAAACACTTTTTAATTATATATTGTATTATTGATAAAATATTTTAAACTCTTCACCTTGTCTTCAATTTTTATCCATCCCCACATGCAAGATCTAAAGGAGACAGGTTTGGTGAATAATCAAGAAGACTCTTATGATCAGGCCCTTCTTCTGAGTTTGTTAAGAGTTAAAAAAATTATATAATAAGCTAAAAAATATTTGGGTGTAATTCAGAACTTCATTGTACTTCTATGTTTTAGTACTTAAAAACTATCCAGAATTTTTACCCATAAATTCTCGGTTAACTTCTAGTTCCTAGACTATAACTTAACTTCTAGTTCCTAGAATATAATAGAATTTATTTGATGCAAATTTTTATACCTTCTACATTTGTTTCAGGAACATGCCTTTGAATCCAGTCAAAAATACAAGGAAGGAAAATACATCATTGAACTGGCGCATATGATCAAAGAAAATGGGTGGGACTGAGATTTGGTTTGACGCAGTGTGCCGACATTTTGGTGTGAAACATGGCCTTTGGAGTGAGTTGGACTGGCCTTTATGTATGTCGGCACACTGCGCCATCAGAGTGTCTCTTGTTTCTTGACATATGAGGTGACTTGTACATCTCATAACAAGACTTTCATTCATTTTATAGCTGAACAATGATTTCATTGAGCTATCAGAATTACCACTGGCTAGAAGGAACTCTACAAGACATCAAGAATAGCTTCAATTCAGTGTCACATATACACACACATATATAAATATATTAGTGATCCATGACAGTGTATAAACTGGTATTGTATGTTGACAAGTGTTTGTGCTTCTATACCAAGACAGTTCTGCTGTGAACAAAGTGTTAAACAAAGGAACGAACTTCAAAAACACTTTCAGCAGTGAACGTTAGTTGATTTATTGTGCATGACTGTCCAGATAAACATTGACGATGCGTGGTCTGTTGATGTAAATTTACTGAAAGTGTTAAAATGAATTGATTGGCACTATTGATTTTCTTAGGTGTTTTATAGAAATCACCATCGCTGAATATTGCTGTAAGATTCAAGCTTAATTGCTGCTGGTTTTTTTTAATGTATTTTGTGTATGTGGTGTATTTCTTGGTCCTATTGTTGAGTTATGTGGTGTTGTCTGATAGAGAAAAGACAATGAGGAAATGATTCATCTATTGTACATTTGTAAAATTTTTTAAATGTGTACTTATTTTGTGCCAATTGACATTATCCCAAATTGTGACTGCAGTGAAAGAATCTTGGAGACCCTTTGTCATCAATATAGGTGTCTATTTAAAATGATCTTCAGCTCTTCATTCTGCTATTTAGATCATCTGGTAAGCTTATGCAGACATAGCAAGGTTTTCATCACTCTGTGTAAGTAAATGGGATATGGTCACCTTGGATATTCCTCTTTTCATCTCACTTGTCTGTAGAGGTCAAACCCTGCCAGACTTGTTGCTGCAAGCTTAGCTCGATGTGATAGATGATGGCAATTTTCACTTCTTCATTACAGCAGATATCATAGTAAAATGTAAATGAAATGTCTCTTCCTTTTTTCAATCAAATGGCTGCTAAGTACTTAATTTTTCGTACTTTGTTTTAAAATTTCAAATATTTTATTTGCATGACTCCATGTTGTTTTTAATTCTGCTGTAGTGAAAGTAAAAAGCCATCACGAATCTTCGGTAATCCAATCTAGTCTTTCATTCTGTGCATTCATTGTTATTTCCCTATTCATAGATAGTATTTTATACAGGTCACCTTCATTTCTTATGACAACAGTTTTATTTTTTAAAAGTTGAAAATATTAATTTCACATGAAAAATAATAAAATGTTTTATAAAATTGTAGTTGGTAGATTTACACAGAATATGTTGAGTTTATGTGACAAAAGAAAAATTTCTTTTCATTTACTGTATCATAAAACATGTTTTGGAAACAAACTTCAGTTCAGTATAATTTCATGTAAACATTTTTTATAAATTTGTAATAAGATGTAATAAATTAACCAGAAATTAGAATGACCTATATTATCCTTTTCATTTATCCCAATGCCCAGAGTGAAGAAAGCAGAGTCCAAATTAAAATTGAAGTTCTTAAAAATTCTGATTTGTACTAAGAGCAAAGAGAAAATGAATTTAAGGGTAGAAATGGAAATGCCTCAATTGATAAGTAATGGTCCTTGACTATAAAAAATTAGTAGCAAATTAGTCATTTGAAAAGCACAGCAATTGTTGAGACCTGCATCTACTAAAAAACATGGTAATGGAGTTCATAAAATGTTAGTATTTCTAAAATTTGTAATTTGTGTAAAACAAATAATGACAATTTAACAATTGAAATTTATACTAAAAAATGTATGACCAACGTGTTTGTTGTGCAAAATTGACGAGAGTTCAAGAAGTTTGCTCACTGCAATCTTTTCATCGGCCTGCACAGGCACCGTACGTGTGAAAGTAAGCACATGCTCTTTGGTCTGCCTGCATCGATCCTCTCAACAGCAGTGGTGGCCGGTGGGTATTGCATCAGGAAAAGTGGCATGTTTGTCCAAAGTCTTACACACATTTTCAGAATATTGATTGAACCAGCGAAAATTATACCTGGTAGTGTATGATTACCTTTCAGGAAAAGGGATTTGTAATCCTTACTTAAAACATCTTGTATGATAGAAAATTCAATTCTGTTCATGAAATTTAAGAGATAAAAAAACTAACATTTGGAGCTAATGAAATATTAATTAATTAAAATAAATGAAAGGGTCAATATTCTCTAAGCTTATTTAATAGGTGTGGGCTCTGCCATAGAATTCATACACATAAGTAGCTTCCTCAACGCAAATCCCAGTACCCCCCCCCCTTCCCCATTCTTTCACATGATTCCATTGCCTAGCATGCATTACGTATGGTCAGCACTACCAAAGTCCACAGATTTACCCGTTCCAAAACTATTTTCAGTTGCTTATTCAGGCACATGAAATTGTTTGTTCTCAAAAGTAATACTAGTGCTCAAATTAGAGTCCATTTAGTGTATTATTCATTCATCAAAACTTTTTACGTGATTGAATTTTCTGAGGAAGACATCACCTAGAGTCTTAAACCAACATCACCTAGATACTAGATAGTATATCTAGGTGGTGTTGCTTAAACGCATTTCTTCACAATGTTGCGTAAATACAACACAAAGTTCACTGGTATTGTATTCACTGGAATTTTCTACCACCACGGAATTTACAAAGTTCACTATTTATTTCACCAACATGATTCTTTGAAAGCATTTGTAATTTGTAGTACTGTAAATACAATCCATAATGAGTTTAAAACTTTTTTTTAGTGTGTGTGACACACATTTATAGGAATGATAACTATACTGGGTTGAAAGTGAGAAAATACTCAACAAGACTTAACATTTATTTGTTAAATATAAGCTCTTATTTGGTACAATGACTAGTTAATGACTAATATAATAATGGTAAACAAATTGCAGTTTTCTATTCAGCTCTTTGAAAAAGTTTATGAATTCAAACAAACATCAGAAAACTAGTATTCATATTTTGTATGAAATAAAATGAATTGCATTTTTAATACCAACCAACCACACATTTCGTATACGATGACACTATGATGCTTTTTCATCCATTATTAGCACACATTCCCCTTCCATTATTCACTTCTTCAAGTAGATGATCAGCTCGATCAAAGCAAATGTCATCCAGAACCTGACGACAGCTGTTGGGGCCACAGATTTCCCAGCTGTTTTATCTTTTGAGGTACGTGATGGCAATGTAGTAAGTATTCTACAACTATAGCTGTTTTCGCTGCCTAATCTCTCTACCTTTTGATCTTTCCAGACATCATTTTCTAAACATCTCACTGCTATCATTGATATATTTACTTCTTTCTTGGTCTTCCTCTATATCTTCATTCTTCACGATGATATTCCCTCACCTTCTTTGGCAGTCGCTCACTGACCAAACTCTTTAAAGGCATACACCATATTAGAGTGATAATTTCTAACAGTTCTAAAGTTGATTTTCCAGCTTTCATTATTTTTATTACTCTTTGATTTTTAATTCTCTCTTTGTTTGTAACCTGACAACAAAACCTCTAATATTCCATTCTGTTCCTTGGATTCTACTTATTTTCCTGGCATTAATAGTCCATAACTCAGCCCCAGATGTAAATAGACTTTCCACTATTGTTTTGTAATTGTGTTTCTTTTTAATCTTGAGTTCCATGTCAATGGACGTAAGATCTTATACCTCTATATGTTTAGTTTAGAACATATCTGCTATCATCACCATCACTTGTGCCCCTATGGGTTAACAGGTCTTGACCATTGCCTCCCACTACTATATATTATGTTTATGATACATTAATGTCAAGTCCCTACTTTTCATATTCTTCAACTAATTTTCTATTCGTGTACTGGATAACATCCTTATCACTGGCAGGGACCACTTGGTCATCTGCATACATCAAGGTATACAAGAAATCCTTACTAATAGGTGTGCCTTCTACCATGCCCTTACACATGCTTTTCCAGATGTGAAGAACTCTAATATATATTTTAAATAGAATAGGTGATGTAACAACATTGCCTTAGGCCTTTGTTTATTTTAAAACTTTAGAATTACTTCAACCAATTTTTACAGCTTTGACAGTTCGTATATAGATGTTTTATAGCAATTATATGCACTGTATTTATAATCTCATCTGTAATTCCCCACAGATCAGCTAGGTGTACCAAGTCCAACGCTTTTCTCTGATTTACAAATACTACATGGATCTCTTTGCCTACAATGATTCTTTTCTCGATATCGAGAAATTAATTTCTTCAAAACAAAACTTCTTTACACCTATTCTCCAGTTGTTTCTTTGTTTGCTTTTTTTGTTCGTTTGTTTGATGGATGGTTTGTTTGCTGGTTCGTTCTTGTTTGATGGCTCATTCGTTGGTTCGTTCGTTTGTTGGTGCGTTCGCTCTTTTTTCAGTTCGTTTGTTGTGCGTTCGTTCATTGGTTCGTCTGTAGCATCGTATCTTCGTTCGTTCGTTGGTTTTCTTCTTCGATCGTTGGTGCGTTCGTTGTTTAGTTCTTACGTTCGTTGGGTCGTTCCTTGGTTAGTTCGTTCGTTTATTTGCTCGTTCTTTCGTTTGTTTGTTCGTTCGTTGGTACGTTCATTCGATTGTTTCTCGTTCGTCTCTCGTTGCTCGTCTTTCGTCGTTTGTGATTTTTCGTTCCTGCTAACGTCGTTCGTCTTTCGTGTTACGTCGTTCATCTTTCGTCTTTATCGTTCGTTGTACGTCGTTTGTCTTTCGGCTTTCAACATTCGCCGTTCGTTTTTGTCTTTCGTCTTCCGCCTTTCGCTGTTCGTCTTTCGTCGTTGTCTAGCGTCCTTCGCATTTCACCTTTCGCCTTTCGTGGTTTCTCCATCGTCGTTCGTTATTCGTTCGTCGTTTATCTTTCGTCTCTTGTCGTTCGTCTTTCTCCTTTCGTCGTTCGTTAGCGATCGTCGTTCATTTATATTTTTGAGGTTTTTTAAATTGTTAGGTCTTTCGAATATTTAGAATTTTCGTTTCTTCCACTTTTTTTTCTTTCTGGTCTTTCGTTGTTCGTCCTCCATCTTTCTCCTTTTTATCACTCGTTGCTCGTCGTTCACGTTCATCGTGTATGTATCGTCGTTCTTCTTTTGTCGTTCATTTATACTTTTCGAATTTTATATTTTTTCGAACTTGTATATTTTTCGAATTTTTTATTTTATAGAATTTTAAGATTTTTCGTTCTTTCCACTTTGTGTTTCTGTCTTTCGTCGTTTCCCTTTCGACGTTCGCCATTCGCTGTTCGTCGTTCGTTATTCGTCTTTCGTCGCCCGTCCGTCTTTAGTTGCTCGGCGATAGTCGTTCGTCTCTCGCCGCTCGGCGTTCCTCGTTCTATTATATTTTTTGAATTTTTATATTTTCAGATTTTTATATTTTTCGAATTCATATTCCTTTTTTTCAATTTTTGAGTTTCTGGTCTTTCGTTGTTCGTTGCGCGTCACTATTTGCTCGTTAGTAGTTCTTTGTTCGACGTTCGTCGCTGGTAGCTCGTCGTTTGTTCATTTTTTCGATTCTTTACAATTTTGGAATTTCTATTTTATTCGAATATTTTACTTTTTTATATTTTTGAATTTTTTATTTTCTTCTTTTGAATTTTAGGATTATTCGTTTTCTAATTTTTTGTGTTTCTGGTCTATCATCGTTCGAAGTTCGTCGCTCGCCGTTCGTAGCTCGTCGCTGGTCGTTCGTCTTTTGTCTTTCGTGATTTGTCGCTTGTCGATCGTCGTTCGTCTTGCGTCCATTGTCTATCGTCGTTCTTCGTTCGTCTTGCATTGTTCGTCGTCCGTTGCTCGTCGTTCATCGTTTTTCGACGTTCGTGCGATTTTCGTTTATCGTCCGTCTGCTGTCTTTCGTTGTCGTTCGTGTATCGGTGTTTCTCTTTCGTCGTTCGTTTCTGTTTTTGAATTTTTACATCTTGCATCTTTGCGTTTAGTTTTTTCTAATTATCATATTTTTCGTTTTTTCCACTTTTTGTATATTTGGTCTTTCGTCGTTCGTCTTTCTCCTTTCGTCGCTAGTCGTTTGTGTTTCGGTGTCATCGTTCGTGTTTTTTCGTTCGTTTATATTTTTCAATTTTTATATTTGCTCCCTTTCATTTTTTAATTTTTGTATTTTTCCAATTTTTATTGTTCGAATATTAATATTTCCGATTTAATATTTTTTTAATTTTTAGATCTTTTTGGTTTTTTCTACTTTTTGTGTTTTTGTCATTACGTCGTTCGTATTTCGACGTTCGTGGTGAGACCTTAGAAGTTCACAGTTGGCCGTTCCTCTTTCGTTGTTTGTCATCCATCGTTCGTTGCTCGTCGTTCGTTGTTCTTCAGACATTGTTCGTTGATCATCTTTCGTCTATCGTCTTTCGTGTTCAGAAGTTTGTCTTTCGTCATTCGTGGCTCGTCGTTAATTTTTCTCCGATCGTCTTTTGTCTTCCGT